CAGCAGCAGCAGCAGGACCAAGCCCGGCTGAGAGCCGAAGGTGCTTGGTCTGCACAGCTGGAAGTTCTTTCATGTCGGTGGTCTCCTGCAACTTAACTTAGGTCTCATGACCAACAGGTCTGGCAACAAGGTGCCGGAGTTCGAAGAGATCAACGAGGCCGTGGAGGGGACCAAGAGGAAGATGATGCAGACCTACCCGCAGATATACTTGTACTTGTGCAAGTTGCGGGTGGATGTGTCCACATGGTGTGCATCTTGCCTGCACAGGTTTCTTGACATTTCAGTGGCATGGCATTTCAATTCCCCGTGCTGTCATGCCTGGTGCACCTTTGCTGAGTCGGTCTTGAACCTCCTCGAGCACTCCGGTCTCCGCGACAGGGCTCTGGAATTGGGGCACAAGCTCCAAAGCGACTCTGTTGCAAAATATCCCGCGAGTTCGTAAATAATTCAGAGACAGAGACAGAGACAGAGACAGAGACAGAGAGAGAGAGAGAGAGAGAGAGAGAGAGAAAGAGAGAGAGAGAGAGAGAACTGAATAGAGAGAGTCTCTGAGGACAGGTCCAGCGGTACGACAAGAGCTATGCTTGGAGAGATGTCTCCCTCGCCATTTCGGCCTACTGCACGGCCTGTGTCATCCATCACCGCAGCTTTGCAGCATTACTATTATCACGAGAGCTGCTTATATTTATCTGACTCAAATCCTGTGATCTGGTGTCAACTCAGAAACGTCTCGTGGTGACGATGGATGCTTCGGGGACCTGCGTGTGCCGGTACTTCGCTTTCATGAGTCGGACAGCGACGACGAGACTGCTGTGGTCGGCAAAGACTGGGGCAAGCACAATGTGCACCGCCGGAAGGCCGATTGATGTGCTTGCAGTCAGATAGCAGCTTCATTCAACACATCACAACTTCATTCACAATGCCCCATGTCTGTGCCCAGATGGTAATAATTCGAAGTTTTATTTCGTGTGTCTCGGTGTGGCTTTCCCATACTTGCAGGACGACCCCAAGTACGAGCAGGAGCTGGGATATCGAGTGACTGTCCAGTTCCAGCAACGGCCATTGTTTGCTTGCAGGATGATGGTGATGATGCAGGTGGCTGGGGCGGGCACGAAGGACCTTGCAACTTTCAAGGTTGAAACATTTAATTTATGTTGTTGTATCCAGGAGATCAGGTCTGGCAGCACAATCCCAACGACGACACCTCTTGGCAAGACGGCGGCTGGAAAGGTCACTGGCAGAGCACGGGTGGCTCATGGGGTGATGGCCAGGCATGGTCTTGGGAGAAGGCAGGATATCGAGTGGAGTGGATGAGTCATAGTGCAGCAGCTTCGATTGATCATCGGTGACTTGCCTGCTTTGCAAGGATGGTACAGGTGGCGGCGGCTGGAACGACCAGAAGGTGCAGCAAGGACTGCGAAACTTTTCGAGACGAGGGTCTTGGAGCAGTGTCTGGAAATGCATGCATGTTGCCCAGGAGGCCACAGCCATGACTCCGCCAAGACCTGGGACCAAGGCGGCTGGCAGCAGAAGGATGACTCATGGGATGATGGCTGGCAGAGCCAGGAATGGTCTCAGGAGAAGGCAGGACGGTGATGGAGTCATAGTCCAGCAAGATTCGATTGATTGCCTGCTTTGAAGGATGGCCAGAGCTGCTGGGACTGGCAATTTGACCCTTCTTCAGGACAGTGCAACTGTCGTGGGATGATCCGTTCGTATGTTTTTGCGACGCAGGACAATGGTCTTGGAAGACTGACCAGTGGAAGCAGGATGACCAGTGGTCTCAGAAGCAGGATGACCAGTGGACTCAGAAGCAGGATGACCAGTGGTCTCAACCTGCGTCTCAGAAGTGGGAAGACCAAGGCTGGCAGACTCAGGCGGGATACCGACTTGAGTTCCGACAAGTTAATCGATTGAATGATTGCTTGCTTTCCCAGGACAGCCAAAACTGGTCTTGGAATGGCCCGCAGAATACGGGCGGCTGGTATCAATGATTCCTTCGCAGCCAAGGAATCCTGAATGGCAGGGAAGCTGCTTCTGGTACAGAGTTTTTCTTCCCTTGCGAGAAAAGAAAGCCTCCTTTGCTTGCCGACACTGGATGTGGCGTGTACGTGCACATATCTCCTGCTGGTTCTGTGAATTGCTGCCAGGTCTCTTTCCACTTCGTCCAGGAAGGCCAGGGTGCTCTTGCTGCAGCTGGTGTTGGGGCGTCTCTTGCAACCCGGTCAGGTCTCTCACTCTGAGTCTCTTGATCTTCGGTAGCTCTGCTCCAGGCCCGCGGGGGTTTAATGTTCTACTCTGTCACAAACTTGCTCCACGAACCAGTTGCTGATATGCCCGTGGAAGGTCTGAAGACACGCGGCTGCTGTCCAACAAGGTGCATTGACTTTCTTTGCATGGCTCTTGGGTGCTACTGACTTCCTGTGTGAGAGAGCTGCGCCTTTGGTCCGTTTCAATACTTCTGCCTTGTCATGCGTCGTGCAGAGTCCTTGGTCTCTCAGAAGCAAGGTCATTGAGTTCTTTCCGCAGACATTCAGGTCTATATCATATCCGGACCGTGTTTGAAACGTCAGCTATTAGCTGCCATGGTTGCTGTCTGGAGCCAGAAGGTCCTGAAGGCCAAAGCCAAAGGTCTTGCCAAGGCCAAGGCGAAGAGCGGCAAGGCTAAAGCCAAAGCTAAGGCTAAGCCAAAGGCCAAGAGCGAAGCCAAGGCGGTAGAGATTCCACCTCTGCCTGAGCTACGACGTGAGTCGTTTGACTTGGTCAAGTTCATAGCTGCAGTTTGGAAAGAGGCCGGCTACGTTGCTAAGAAGCCGGCCTCGACTTTGGCAGGTCATCTCAAGGTCTCCTCCTGCTGCACAGGGTCCGGCAGCTTCGGCTACGTCCTGAAGAAAATGCTCAAAGTCGCCAATGCTGGCTGGACGGCGGACGAGATCCTGGGCTCCGAGAAGGACGCAAGCGCCCAGCTCTTCCTGATCAAGAACCGCAGGAATCCCAACTGCTTGTTTCAGGACTGACTGGTCAAGCCTTAGTAGTAAGTTTGAATGCATTCACATATATGAGATGACGCTATTCAGGACGCAATGGATATCTTCTCGGAGGAAGCGCCCTGCTCCGTCCATTGTCGAATGTGTCCGGTGCCGGCGGGGGGGATGGAGCATCTTTTCCAATCAGGCTTCAGTTGTTGCTGGAATTCCCAGGCGAACCCCAAGAGGTTCAAGCAGGACATCGTGGCAGAGAGACACCCAGAGCACGATGTTTCATGGCAGGCCACAAAAAGGCACATGGCTGACAGGCAGCCATCGCTGGCATTGTTGGAGAACACTACGGGTCTCACGCCCCCTGGCTTGCAAGGAGTTTGCGGTCTCTCTCAGCCATTGTAGCAAAAACTATCCTTCCTCTGATCTGAGGCTTGCCCGAGGTGGTGGCTCGTCTGAGCCTGCTCTGGCTTCGAACATGCAAGAGTTGAAAGACCTAGGTCTAGATGCAAGTTCGGTGATCCTCGACGCGAAGCCCCTCCCTACCGAGCGAAAGAGAGTTTTTGTTTTGGTCTCTCGCCTGTCTGGAGAGAACAGCTCGGAGAATCTGAAGAAGGAAGTGGTGCAGCTGGCTGACATAGTCCAGAAGAAGTTCCCGCAGCTGCACATGGAGGCCTTCCTCGGCGGGCCTGCCGGCTCTTCAGGGTCAGCAGCTGCCCCGGTCTCCAAGATTCCTTCGGCCCAGCCATCCTCGGCATCTCTCATGGACGAGGCAGAGATGGTTTCCAAGTACCACCAGGCGTTTTCCAATGCCATTGCCAAGGCTGTTCGGGCGAAGAGGCTGGACGACAAGGACGAGCACGCCTTCAAGAACGATCGCCCCAGCCATCTCCATGACAGCCTCAAGCACGTGACCCCATGGATGAAGGCCCAGGTCGATGTGTACTTCCTCATCGGGCAGGCCTTGGCTGAGAAGAGGGGCTTGCATGACTTTCTCCAGGAGCCGTGGGTTGCTTGAACGTAGCAAGTTTACTAGCTGAGTGGGATCCCACTGGTGCTCGTGCGAGTTTAATAAATGCGAGGAGATGGTGGCTGACGTGTCTCAGAGCTGCGATCGTGGCCGGGTCTCATTTGGCATCGTGCCGACGGTCACCAGATCGAGCACACTCTACCACTATGGTCAACGTTGCTTTGTCCCTTACGACCTGATCTTCTCTGCACACGGCTATCCGATCGACAATTTGTCGTGGAAGGGTGTGGATGCAAAGAGCTTGGTTGGCAACGTGACTGCCAGCACATCCCTGGTGGTCTCGATGACTCCGCTTCTGAGGGCCTTGGGCGTCTTGTGCAGGTCTGGCTGAGTGGCTGTCAAGAGCCAATGAGAAGAAAGTTCATGGGTCCATCAAATAGGCTCTAGTAGCTTGAGGCGGTCTATCTGAGACACAAATTTTAAATCATATCATCCTCTTCTGTTGCAGACAAGTGGCAGCCCTGTCAGGCTGCATGATCGGCCCGACTCTTGCAGTCGTGTGTATCAGTCTGCATTTCTTGACACTCAGCTGGCAGTCCGGTGGTGCCACCAGTTTTGAAACACTCTTCGCCGAAAGTGACTTGCCTTCAAAAAGGCTTGTTGCTGCTCCGTGGCAGGTCTGCGGCACTTCGGTCAAGGACTCGATTCAAAAGTGCGTGTGCTGTCATCCACTGAGATGCATGGCAGTGTCTCTCTTCTGACTCTGAATGCAGTGTTCAATCTGTTGTTGCCTCAGCAAGTTCAGTATCTGTGGGTTGTTGCTGGTGCAGACGCAGCCCCGGCTCCAAGAGACATGTCCGTGAGATTGGACATTTATGCCTTTGGCGCAGCTTCCTACTGATGCTGAAGAAGCGGGCGCAAGGCGCAATGTGTTTTGAGACAGTCTCATGTCAGAGATCTCTGATAGATTGCTTATCGAAATGGCTTATCAGTATACTAATAATACGAAGAAGAAGAATACTACTAACAGCAGTCAGAATAGCAAGAATACTAACATTCATAATATTAATAATACTAGGTATATTAAGGAAGATAACATGATTTCGGATTTCTTCCAGTTTCGCATCAGGCAGTCCTCGAATTTTCCAAGTGGGAGCATGAGTTGGGCCTGACCTAATGCAGGCGCCTCAGATTCCCAGCAGTGTGCATGCCTTAGGTTAGACCGTCACGGGCTCTTGATAGTAACCTCTGTTGGCCTCTTGGCTTTCATGTCAGTCAGGGCCAGGTAGCACGGCAACTTCGTGTGCTTAAAATGCTTTGGTCCTGAGGACAATTACGGTCTTCTGCACGGAGAGGTTGGCCAAGCTGGAGGACTGAGTCGTGAAATCATTGGATTGATTGGCTTGTGGGAGAATAGGTGGTCTTCTGACACTAATAGTTTAGGAATTCTTGGGTGGCTGGCTTGGTGATCTACTTACCATGGATGTTGGTCTATATTTGTTAATTGGCTCGTCTCTGTATTATTATCTGGAATCTGTCTCATTGAACTATCTAATTTTATATTACTTGGGAAGCTTGCCGCGTGTAGTGTCTCATTGTGGTAGATCAACTGCAGAGTGAGGTTGTATTCCAAACTTAATTAAGAAGAAATCTCGGATTGTTGGCCTCGAAAAAATTCAGGAGTTCTGGCGGATTTCCAGTTCACCGCAGACGCCGTGGACTGGCATGGTCGAGGCAAGACTGCCGCTTTTCCAAGAACTGAGGGGTGCGATGCTGAGCCAAGTCTGGAGTGGAGCCTGTGCACTTAACTGTGCACTTGGGCCAGTGTAATTAGTTGTCTCGAAGGGACCATGCCCTGCTTCTGTGGAGTGTGGATTGCAGGTCAGCCATCAGGCACAAGTCACAAGTAATAAAAGCTGTTCCACCTTGGTCTCTCTCTGTGCGTGCATGTTTCTTTTATAGACGGTCTCGGTCATTTTCCGGAATGCAGGCCAGAAAGCAGCATTGTTAGCCATTTAAGAATCTGCTCGTGCAGCACAAAGTCGCCTTTTCTACAGTACATGTTCGATTGCCTTCCTCATCCTTTGAAGTTGCTCGATGACTTGCTTCCCGAGTCCACAAACTCTGACGTAGTCTTGCGGCTGAGCGGGGCCATAGCAGAAGCAAAAGGGAGATTATCATCTTGTTTGCAGGACTTAGCTATCAGTCGAGCTGTGTCTTTCCTCCGGCATGCTTGATGCGGAGACTAGGCATTGTCATGGGGATTGACTGGGACCCTCAGTGACGTTGTTGTCAAAGAAGCTTGCGTGCAGAATCTCCGGATTGGCGGCTTCAGCATTTAGGTCTCCAAGTTCTTTCGCACTTGCTTCATTTAGGTCTAGATGGCCTTTAATTCCAAAGCCATGGCCGGGATGTTTGAAACCCTCCGAGAGCAGATCCTGCCTGGAAATTTCAATCCCAGGAGCTTTGAGGCCTTGACCTTCTTCACTGGCCTGGATCCGTTGTTCTACTTGAAGTGCCGAGAGCCAGGACCTCTTGCGGCAGTGGGATGCACCTATTGCTGCAGCTTGGGAAAGACCCTGCCGAGTTGCGGGGATATGGTGCGCTACGTGGCCTGCGACGGCAAGGTGCACTTCCGGAAGAACGGCTCCGTTGTTGAGAAGTCCAACTGCCCCAAGGTCTTGCTCTCCTCGGTTACTGCAGGGCACGACAACGCCAGCCAAGAGGCTTTGGGCAGGCTCGAATCGGCAATCCAGGTCTGCAGACCTGACGTCCTACTGTTGGACGTGTTGATTTCAGGCTTGAAGGTGGCCGACGTGTTGCAGGTCTTGCAGAACATCATCCTTGAGCTCAAGGTCTTGTTGTGGTCTGAGTACCGCTATATCCAGAGAAGGTTCATTTTGGTGGCCGCCAAGTCTGGTGACCCGGCTGTCCTCAAGGAGCAGTGGGAGAAGTGTGCCTCCCTATTTGTTCATGCTGGGTCCTTGACACACTTCTTCACACGGTCTTCGGCGGTCTTCCGGTACCACGATGAGATGCTCAGGCGGCAGATGAAGCAAAGCAAGGCTGACAAGGAGGACAAGGCCGAAGAGGCTGC